TTATTTTACGATAACTAGTGGAGATGGGTGGATTTGAGCAACACGGCCTTTATTTCTCCTTTAGAGTGGAAAACGCTCACAAACGCTGGATTTTAAGAATCCAGCCTTGTAGCGCGTGGTGGCGCGAGCCTGTAACCCCAGCAACCGCGAAGCTGGTGCGGAAGGATAGCGGAGTTTAAGGCCAGCACTCAGTTAAGTAGTCGGACTCGGTCTTGAAGAAAGAGTTACACCCTTAAGTAAACTGGCCCACGTACTTAGTCCGGGAGATACCAGCCGTGGATCCTTCATCTTGAAGTCCAGGAGCGACTTCCGCGTAGGCAAAAATAAATGGGTTAGGAGCCCGCGGGACGGGGTGATCAGGCCGGGAGAGCAGTGAGCTGGCCGCGGGTGGGGGTGAACTGGCCGTGGGGAGGGGCGAGCTAGCGATGGGGAGGGGCGAATTGGCCGTGGGGCGGGACTAATCTGGTCGTGTGGTTGAGCGAACAGGCCGTGGGGAGGGGCGATCTGGATGTGTCAGGTGAGCAGGCTGTGAGACGGGGCAATCGGACTGTGGGACGGGGTGAGATGGGCGTGGAAAGAGTGAGCTGGCTTTGGACGTGGCGATCTGGCCGTGGGGAAGGGCGATCTGCCTGTGGGGAGGGGTGAACTGGCCGTGGGGCGGGATGAACTGGCCGTGGGGCGGAGCGAGCTTGAGTCCACTCCCCTCCCGGCTAGAGGAAGTGACGTGTGCGGACAAAGGCAGAGGCCGCGAGGTGTCTGGTCCGGTAGAGTGGTGGTGGCTGCTGTGGGCTCCGGTCCTTGCCAGCCTCCGTCTCTCCTCGCCCTTGTATCTCGGGTCCCGAGAGCTCCCATCTGGGTGAGTAGCGCGAGGTGGACGGAGGGGACGAGGCCAGGGAAAAGGGAGATGCTCACCCCAGCTGCCCAAAGAGGTGAGGGACCCGGGCCTGCCCCACGTGCGTGTCCCGGAGAAGTCCACCGACCAGACCTGGGCCGGGACCGTGGTGACCACTGATCGGGTTAGAGGAAGCCACGTTGTCGGAGGCTGGCAGGACATGTGCCCTCTCCACCCCTGCCCCTAAGCCACCGAAAGACCCTTTCCAGTCCTCAGTTTTCCCTCTGAGATAAGAGGGAACTACTGCAAGCCTGGTGAGAGAAATGGGCGCCGTGCGCGGCTCAAGGCCTCATGGTTAAGTGCCCGGTTACACAGATTGCTGTCGTGTTTAACTAGTTCCAGCTCTGACTGACACAGCTACGGTCTCCTGAGCCCTTGGGGCCAAGGTCAGCCCTTTTTGCGGGGAGACTGCCATCTCGAAAAGCCCAGGCTTTGCCGCTCCACCAACTGTGTGATCATTTCGGTCTCTCATCCTTTTGATGAAGGGTTGGAACTGCTTGTGTCAGAGGCCCTGCCTAGGGTGGTGTAGCTGAGGGCAGTGATTGCAGGGGATGGTCACCCAGTGAGATGGGACAGACCCCCAGGAGGGCCCAGGACTGCATAAGGAGCTTGGATCCTGTCCTTACTTGTTTTTTTTTTTCCTGTTTCCTATGTGGTGTGTTACAGCACATCATTCCCTTTAGCATGCTGGTTTTCCTGTCTATCAACTGGAGCAGGGAGGAGACAAGGGGGACTGTGGGAGTGTTGGAGGTACTTGTGGAATACTCTGCTGGAGGCCAGAAGCTGTAGGATCAAGAGGTCAGCCTCTCCACTGTAAAGTAGTTCTGGGTGTACAGGGAGGGAGAGCTTGTGTTTGTATCTTCCAGATTGACCATCAGTTTCCCTGCTCATATGACCTCATAGAGCCTTCCTAGGGACTATGAGTTTTGGGGGTTTTAACACATTTTCCTCACTCGATCATCTTAAGAAAGGTATTTGAGCTTTCTATTTTTATATTCGATCATGTGTGTATGGGGGCTGTACATGTGAGTGCAGGAATCTGGGAGGCCAGAAGAGGGCGTTAGGTCACAGGAACTGGAGTTCTTGGTGGCTGTGAGCCAGCCAAAGTGGGGTGTTGAAAAGAGCAGCCAGTGCTCTGCCGGCTGAACCGTCTCACCAGCCTCTCGCTAGCAAACTAAAAACTAAAAGCTCAAGAGAGTATACGGTATACGCCTTCCACTGTGGGTCGCCTGACTTCTCAGAGGCACACTTCATCACCACAGCCTTTCCGTGAAGTTCAGTGTCACTGTCCTCATTGAATAAAAACAGAGCTAGGCAGTGGTGGCGCACACCTTTAGTCCCTGCACTTGGGAGGCAAAGGCAGGTGGATCACCAAGTTCGAGACCAGTCTGGTCTAGAGAGTGAGTTCCAGGACAGTTATGGCTACATGGGGAGATCCTGTCTCGAACAAACAAACACAACAAAAAAAGGAAGAACATTGGCAGAGCATTTGGCTTATTTATTCATTCATGTGGCAGCTGTGAGGAAAGGGCTGTGCCTTGGAGCTGTGCATCAGCATTTCAAGTTGTTTCTGTTGTGATACCCTGTCTCATGAGGTCCAGGCTGGCCTCAGAGTCATTCTCTAGCCAAGGATTGTAGTAGGAGCAGTGGGCTGTGTTCCCAGCGCCCGGCCGACCGCATGGCTAGCTTAGCCCTGGAAATAATAACACGGAAACTGTATTCTTTTAAACACTGCTTGGCCCATTAGCTCTAGCCTCTTACTGGCTAATTCTCACATCTTGATTAACCCGTTTCTAATCATCTGTGTAGCACCATGAGGTGGTGGCTTATGGGGAAGGATCTTAACCTGAGTCCATCTTGGAGAGGAGAGCTATAGCGTCTGCCTAAGGTGTCTGCCCCACTGCCTTCTTCCTCCCAGCATTCTGTTCTGTTTACTCTGCCTACCTAATTTTTTTGTCCTATCAAAGGGCCAAGGCAGTCTCTTTATTAACCAATGAAAATAACAGACAGATGACCCTCCTCCATCAAAGGATGTCTTTGAACTTCTGACCCTCTGGCTTCCACCTCTGGAGTGTTGGGGTGACAGGATGCGCCACCATATCCAGTTTTGGGGGTACTGAGGCTTGAATCCAGGGCTTTGTGGATGTTAGGCAAGTGCTCTGCCAACTGAACTGTTTTTGTTTTCTTGAAACAGGCTCTCCCTGTGTAGTTTGGGCTAGTCTTGAACTCTTGATCCTCATGCCTCAGCCTCCTGAATGCTAGGAATATCAGCATGTAATGCACCATACCAAGTGTCCTGTCTACGTCTCTACAGCTAGTGAGTAGAGCCAAGTCTCAGGTCCACTCACCCTACCATCAGAGCCTTTTGTTTTGTTTAGATAGAGGCTCTCACTGTGTAGAGCAGGCTGAGTTAGAATTCTCAGCTCCTCTGCCTCCGCCGTCCTATTTTTGTTGTTGTTGTTGTTTGTTTGTTTGCTTTTTGTTTTTCGAGACAGGGTTTCTCTGTAGCTTTGGGGCCTATCCTGGAACTAGCTCTTGTAGACCAGGCTGGCCTTGAACTCACAAAGATCTGCCTGCCTCTGCCTCCCGAGTGCTGGGTTTAAAAGGGTGTGCCACCACTGCCTGGTATACTTTTGTTTTTTGAGACAGGGTTTCTCTGTGCTTACCAGTTTGGCCTTGGACTCAGGGATCCACCTGTCTCAGCCTCTGGAATGGTGGGATTCAAGGCATATGCCACCACACTTGATGCCTGAAACACTTTTTAGCTCATATTCAAGCCTTGTATGGTTGGAAGTTGAAGAGATGACTCATTGGTTAAGAGTACTGGCAGCTCTTCCATTCCTGAGTTCAATTCCCAGCACCCACATGGTGGTTCACAACCATCTATGGTGAGATACAATCCCCTCTTCTGTCCTGCAGGCATATATATAGGAAGAACACTGTATACATAATAAATAGATCTTTAGAAATAAAATAAAACCTTGTATGGTGCCTAGTGGTGGTGGTGGCAGTGGAGGTGGTCTTGGCGACACATGCCTTAAATCTTAGCACTTGGGAGGTGGATCTCAAAAAGGCAAAATGAAACAGTATGGTTATGGTCCGCCTTCCTCCCTTTTCTGTCTCCATCTTCGCTCTCCCCTCCCCCTTCTCCTTCCTCCTCCTCCAGAGCCCTCTGCTATTTTCCCCTAGAACAGGGCCCACCCACCAGACTGCCAAGGGACTCTTAACTCTAGGCAGGGTTTTGCTTATTTTGCCTCCAGTTGCCTTCAGAGTGGTCATAGGAATGTCTCGGGGGTGTGGTGACCGCAAAGGCCTGCTGGTGACAGTTCACATCTCATTTTCTTAGCTGCAGGTGGAGGGGGAGGCGGCTAGGTGACTCGAAGGATGTGCAGGTGGCAGTCTGTCATGAGCAAAAGCCCTGTCTGCCCATGAGCTAGCCAAGTATACACATAGCCACACTGCCCTGACCCTGCCTGCCCGTGCCATGCAGTTTCATGGTGTGGGGGAGTGTCTTCCCTTCCTTCCTTCCTTCTCTCTCTCTCTCTCTCTCTCTCTGTATTTATTTCTCTTCCTTTCTTCCTTTCTTCTTTGTTTGCTTGCTTTCTGAGACAGGGTTTCTCTGTGTAACATTCCTGGCAGTCCTGGAACTCGCTTTGTAGACCAGGCTGGCCTTAGACTCCCAGAGATCTGCCTTCCTCTGCCTCCTGAGTGCATGGATTAAAGGTGTACACCACCCCCACCAGGGGAGGTGTGTTTTTCTTGTTGTCCTTCAGGCCACTCAGCGGACACTAGAGGTCCGTGTCCGGACAGGGCATGTCTTCAGGAATCAGCCGGGCTGGAAGAGCAAAACAGCCCTGGACTTTCCTTTCCTGGCCTGGATGTGCTCTGCCTCCCCACCCCAAACCCCAGCCGCTTCCTAGAAGCAAGTGGGATTCTTGTAAATTAGATTTTTAAAAAATATTTATTTATTTATAATGTATACAATATTCTGTCTGTGTGTATGTCTGCAGGCCAGAAGAGGGCACCAGAACCCATTACAGATGGTTGTGGGCCACCATGTGGTTGCTGGGAATTGAACTCAGGACCTTTGGAAGAAGAGGCAATGCTCTTAACCTCTGAGCCATCTCTCCAGCCCTGTAAATTAGATTTTTCAAGAGACTTTGGCAATTAAAGGAATTATGCCATAGGCCTTGGGTAAAGAAAAAAAAAAAAGGTAAAAGGGTAAAAGGTGTTGGTAACAGCCTGCAGTGTCCTCTGTCCTGGATGGTGTAGGAGCCTCCAAAAGTGAGAAACAGCCACAGCCGCGCATGCTCGCTCACTCAGTCATCCCCCCCCCCTCCAGCTAGCATGTGTCCCTGACTCCACCAGCGCTGTACAAAGTGTGCACCGGGTCATGGCCACTCTCAGGAGCCAGCACCGTAGGAGGGGGCAGAGCAGAGTACCTCCCTTCTGTGCCAGACTCCAATTTTCCTGTTTATCTGGTAAGAACCAAACATCACGTTGGATACCTGCATGCTGCGTGGGCCGCAAGGAAAGCCCTGAAGTTGTCGTCCTCAGTGTTGAATAAGACAACTTTGAGCAGCAATCTGAAAGTTTTCTTAGGGCTTACGGGCAGCAAGAGGCACAGCTGGGTTGCTGGGCCAGCATTGAGCTGGTGTGGTATGGGAGAGGACCAGATGCCATCCTAGCTGGTGGTTGCTAAGGCGCTGGGACATGGTTGTTGTGGTGCCTGGAGAGGCATCTGACAGCCCTCTTGACCCAGGTCATCCTGTCAGTCCCCAACCAGGTACATAGTGACGCTCAGGCTGTTGCTTCCTATCCAGTCCGGCTCTCAAGCCACACTACCGTTCTGCTTATAGAGGTGGTTGGTCTCTTGGGAACCAACAGGGGCCAGCTGAAGGCGGCCTTCTATGCCTTCCCTGGACCACTGTGAAGCATGCCACTGCCTTCCCAGGGCCACTGTCTTCCCTGGGCCAGTGCTGCTGCCGGTGTGGCGTTGTGGTAAAGGATTGTGGGATTTAGAACCGGGGTCCCCAGCCTGTTACTCCAAGGGCCCCTTGGGTGTGTTTTCCTTTAGTCCCAAATCCTTGTAATGAGGAGTTCAGTTGTGGTGCTCCGGGGCTGGTGACAAATGGCTTGTGTTTCGTTCTCTTTCCAGTCGCAGAAGGACTTAGCGAGACCTCACAGCAGCCCATGGGGGCCCTTTCTGGCCTGGGCTCTGCTCCCAGATTCCCGTGTGGACAGTTTGTGTTGAGCTGTGACTCAGCGACACTGCCTGTCTTAATAGTACCCAGGTGTGAAGTGTGACTGCAGGGTCCTGCCCCATGAAGCCAGCTAGCATTCCAGTGGAGACTCTTAGGCCCAGGACAGCATCACGGGCGCACACTGCCCATGTGGGAAGAGCAGGTCAGGGGCTCGTTAATCTTGAGCAGGGCATTTGGTTTCCATGTGCCCAGGTTTCCTTTTCTGCACAGTGGGTGAAGGTGACAGTGGGTGAAGGTGACAGCAGGTGATGGTGATGGTGGGTGACAATGGTATCTACTTGTGGAAGCATGGGTGCTGGGCAATGCCTGAGCAGCAGCCGACACTATCATCCCTGCTGCTGCTATTTGTCCTGTGTCTTTTAGCACAGCCACTGCTATGTCCACTCCCTCTGACACCCTTAGGCTAGTCCTGGGCGCCTCCTTGCGCACTGCAAGTGTAGGATTAGTTTTGAGACTTCGTGCACTACTCTACCAACATGCGCGGGCAGACTGCAGTTCAGGGCTGGTCCTCGGCAAAAGTCCCCCTCTTCTTCCATGGCTTCTTGCCCACCCTGGCCCCTTCTGCCCATGCTACTTTCACTGTGCTTGGCACCTGGCAGAGACCGTGCTCTGGAATGAAGGGCTGGCCCTCCCTGAGCTGTTCGCTTGTCACTGAGAGACAAGAGGGGTGGAAGTTGCTCGGGCCTCCTAGGGGGTCTCCTGCAGTGCCCATAGCAGAATGCAGGGGACCCTGCTCTGGGTTCTTTGCCTGTCCTGAGGTCACAGGTCATCAAGTCAAGGCTCAGGAACCAGACACTAAGCTTCAGGGTCCCTTGGTTTGGTAGTTTTGCAAATGTTTGGGGTGCTGGGCTGTCATCCAAGAAGTAGATGCCTGGACAGAGTTTGTGCCTCACACTGTGAGTGTGGGGCTCATACCCTAGAGGGTTCCTGCCATCCAGTGCTCTCCCTGCTCATTCTTCCTCTTCTGTCTTCAGAGGGGCAGAGCTGTGGTTGGTGACAGCGCGGCCGGTGACATCATGACAAGTGAGGTGATTGAAGATGAGAAACAGTTTTATTCGAAGGCCAAGTCCTACTGGAAACAGATCCCGCCCACGGTGGACGGCATGCTTGGGGGGTATGGCCACATCTCCAACATCGACCTCAACAGCTCTCGGAAGTTTCTGCAGAGGTTTCTAAGGGTAGGCAGGTGTGATGTCCTCTCCAGGAGAGGCTGTGGCTCTGGTGGGGCAGTGTGGGGAGCCACTTCCACATACCACACTGCAGGTCCTCTGGTCATCTCTCGGTGGCTGCCACCAGGGCCCTGAAGAGCTGGGTCAGGTGGTGACTGGGTGGGATTTGCGGACTGTGAGTTTTGTTTCTGGGCCAGGAGCCAGGAGCACTGTGGACTCAGGCCTGTCAAAACAGAGCAGTCTGGGAACATCCCCTGCTGGGCCTAAGGGTGCTGGGCTGTGGGTGGTGACTGTCCTGTGACTCCTTGTCCTGCCGCTGTCTGTGTCCTCCCTTCTCAGCCTGCAGCACAAGGGTGAGCCCTGCACGAGGCCCTTACCCTTTTTCCACACCCCCACACCCTCACACCCCCATCTCTCCCATGGAGGCTCCCTTTTTTGCATCCTCAACACTGTCACCCTGGGGGCTCCTGGGGACCCTGGAGTAAAAGGAGATTGGGCACCTGCTTTTCTAGCCGTCACCTCGAATAGAAGCTGCCTCCCCTTAGCAAGAGTCCCACTTGCCCTCCCAAGATAGGCCGGTGCAGGAGCTGGACTCACATGTTCTCCGTGTTTTAGGAAGGAGCCGAACAAAACGGGGGACTTCCTGTGCCCTGGACTGTGGCGCTGGCATTGGAAGGATCACCAAGCGCCTGCTCCTGCCGCTCTTCAAGGTGGTGGACATGGTGGATGTGACTGAGGACTTTCTGGCCAAAGCCAAGACCTACCTGGGGGAAGAGGGCAAGAGGGTGAGGAACTACTTCTGCTGTGGGCTGCAGGACTTCAGCCCAGAGCCCAGCTCCTATGATGTGATCTGGATCCAGTGGGTGATAGGTAAGAGTCGCGTGGCCTTGCCGGTCCCCATGCTCACCATGTCCTCCGCCACTCAGGTGCCCCGCCAGCCTCGGGAGCCTAGTTCTGCTCCTCCGGTGAGGTGGCCAGCTGAGATGCAGCTCTCTCGGTTCTCAGGACTGTGAGAGAAACCTAAAGCCAGCTGAATAACTGCATGGAGGTAGAACAATCTTAAGTGGTCAGTGCTGATCTGGAGGTGTGGAAATGAGTTATTAAGGATTTATTCTTTTTAAATTCTTCTCTCAGGAGCCAGAGAAATGGCTCAGCAGTTAGGAGCACCAACTGTTCTTTCAAAGGACCTGGGTTTGGTTCCTAGCACCCACCAGGTGGCTCATGGCCGCTTCCCCTATAGCTGTAGGGGGATCCAGTGCTGTCTCTTGACCTGAATGGACATCAGGCACACACGGCACAAATACATACATGCAGACAAACACCCATATACATGAAAAGTAAATTAATTAAAAAATAATTTAGAATGATGTTTTTCAGGCTTTCTCTGTGGCTCTGGCTGTTCTGGAACTTGCTCTGTAGACCATGAGTGCTGGGATTAAAGGCATTTCCCACCATGCCACACTTAGAATTTTTTTTTTAAAGATTTAAAATGTATATGTGTGCTGGGCGGTGGTGGCGCACGCCTTTAATCCCAGCACTTGGGAGGCAGAGGCAGGCGGATCTCTGAGTTCGAGGCCAGCCTGGTCTACAAGAGCTAGTTTCAGGACAGGAACCAAAAACTACGGAGAAACCCTCTCTCGAAAAATTTAAAAAAAAAAAATGTATATGTGTGAGTGCCTGCATGTCTGTGTATCATGTGTGTGCAATGCCCATGGAAGCCAGAAGAGGGCATCAGATCCCTCTGGAGTTGGAGTTACAGACTGCTGTGAGCCACCATGTGGGTGCTGGGAACAGAATCCTGGTCCTAGAAGAGCAATTGGTGCTAGTAACTCAAGTCATCTCTCCAGCCCCTAAATTCTTTTTATATATATACATATTTTTTTTATTATTTATTATGTATACAATATTCTGTGTGTATGCCTGCAAGCCAGAAGACTCCATTACAGATGGTTGTGAGCCACCATGTGGTTGCTGGGAGTTGAACTCAGGACCTTTGGAAGAGCAGGCAACGCTCTTAACCTCTGAGCCATCTCTCCAGCCCCCTAGCCCCTAAATTCTTATCTTTTACTGTGATCAATACTCCTACTCCCCAATTTCCTTATGTAGCTTAGACTGGCCTCAAATTCAAATCCTCCTGTCAAATGGTAGAGTCACAGGGTGCATGGCCAGGCCAGACCAGGGGCATTTTAAGAAAATGAAAGTAACTCTGAACTCCTGCTGTGGCAGTGGACTGTGGTGGGGTGCCCACACGGCCTAACAGCTCTCTGGACTCTGGGGCTAAGGTGGGGTGCCCGCATGGTCTAACAGCTCTCTGGGCTGCTGTACCCAGGGCTCCTGACACTAGCAGGTGCATCCTGAGCAGACTGCATAGCACTACTGTGACACTGGCCTGCCCTGTTGTTTGGGAGCTTTCTGCTCTACCCACAGATGCAGGCCTAGCAAGGGGTGGTGTGCCACGCAGCTACCAGATATAACCGTAGGGCGCCCAGACAGGGCAAACCCCAGCTTTTGACTCGGCGTATATGCTTTTTGTGGGTGACTTCAGAACTCACACTTCACACACTTCTCTGTTCCCTCCCAGGTCACCTGACGGATGAGCACCTGGCTGAGTTTCTGCGCCGCTGTAAGCAGGGCCTGCGTCCCAATGGCATCATTGTCATCAAGGACAACATGGCCCAGGAGGGTGTGATCCTGGATGATGTGGACAGCAGTGTATGCCGCGACCTCGAGGTGGTGCATCGGATCATCCGCAGTGCTGGCCTCAGCCTCCTGGCGGAGGAGCGCCAGGAGAACCTGCCAGATGAGATCTACCATGTCTACAGCTTTGCCCTGAGATGAGGCCAGGGCCAGCGCTAGGGGCACGCAGCTGGCAGGCCACTAGACACACTTGCCATCCACCTTTGACTCCAGTGGGAGGGACAAGCCCTGGACTGTGCTGTGTATTGGGGCAGTACTGTCCTGTTACTCCAAGGCACCCTGGCAGCTCCCACAAGGATATGGGAAGCTAAGCTGCCACCATAGGACTGGCTGCCAGAGACCTGAAGTGTGCATGGCTGTTCCAGGACAGCCAGGAGAGCTGCACATGGTACCTGAGGTGGTACCACTTACAGGAGCGGTCAGACCCACATCCTCTGGTGATGGCTCGCAGCATCCTGCAGTAGGGGGGCTTCCTCTTCTTGAGCCCCTCCCTGATGGGCACTTTGCAGTCAATAAAAGGGTGAGCCCTGTTCTCGGATGCCTCGGGCAGTCTGGAGTGGTGCTGTGTGGGCACAGGTGTCAGTCACACCCACTGATACACAAGGACACCGAGTTAATCTTATAAATATATTTCGTCATCTCTGCTACTCCCAAGGCCAAGCTGACTTGAGGTCTTGCAAGGGCTCAGCGACATGCTCTGGGAGCCCCTTACAAAGCCAGGCCTTGAAACAGATGGTCCCATTGCGCTGATGGCACAGTTCCCGAGACGTGGATGTGGCATGAGCAGAGCTGCCACCGACCACAGTGCCCGAGCACTAAAGGCTCGGGCAGGGCCCTAACCAGAAGCCCACCACCACTGTAGCGGCCTCAGTGCCCCCTCTTGCCCTTCAAAGCCTGTGAGGTGGCAGAGTAGGGCCACACTGGATGGCCCAGGGTTTTGGCGCTGGTCCCTGAGAGATCCAGGCATGTGCCTCCCCCAGGATCAGTCAGCTGCCAAGGCTCTGAGGGGCCTGGCCTCTGCTTCCCTGCTTCTGCAAATGGCCTGTCAGCTCCTGGTTGGGGGCAGCTGTGTCCCGTCCACACTAGCTCCTCCATTGTGACTGATCTGTTAGTGCTGAGGGAGGAGGCGGGTGTCTCCCTGGAGGCAGCCATGCCCTTGGCCTCCAGGGCACTAACCTAGTGGTTTTGTATCAGTAAAGGGCAAAGCTTGCCCAGATAAAAGGAACCTCAGAAGGCTGTTACAGTACCAGGTCTACCCTTGGCTTGGCTTCAGCCAACCCAGGCCATTCTGTCCCAGGATCCATCAGCAGCTGTCTTCTGTGCCGCTGTGCGCACTGAGCAGGTACCACTTGAGCCTGTCAGGCAGGGGCAGGGCTTTGACCTTGGTGTCCACGGGCCACGGGCGCAGGCACAGCCGAATGGCCACGCGGCACAGGTGTTTGAGGGGTGGTGGGTAGCTCTCCAGCTGCCGCAGGGAGGTGTGCAGGGCCTGGATCTTCCCTGCCAAGCTACCCACTGGGTGGATGTTGAAGTTCTCAGGCAACTGAAGCCTCTGGGAGCTAGTCACCATGAGGTCCAGCACGGTCTCAGCCTTATGCAGAAGCTCAACATGGCTGTCATCCTCAGCACAGCCCGGGTGGGAACACAGCCTCTCAAAAATGAGGCTGAAGCCAGACCAACAGGATGCACCATGCAGGGAGCAGTTGTAGGAGGCCCCAGACTCCAGCAGGAAGCGCAGAAGGGGGAAGTGCAGCTTGAAGCTCTTGAGGCAGATGTGTGTGAGGGACTCATGGGCTGGACACTCACTGGGGTCCGCCCCATGGGCCAGCAGAAGCTGTGTAACTTGGAAGCAGAAGCGGTTGATCATCGGGGCCTCCTCCTTGTCCCCGCAGACAGTCTCACCGAGTAGGAAGATGATGCACGTGAAAACAGTGTCCCCATCTTTGGTGGTGGCCTTGACGTCTGCCCCTGGAAGAAGCACGAACAAAAATGAGAGTTGGCTGGCAGTCCTTACCAAACTGGGGGTGGGGGTGGGGGTGGGGGACGGAGAGCAGAAGACAGCTGCTGTGGACAGCAGACCCTTACCTCCCTCCAGGAGGAGTCGGATGTTGTCTGTGTTGTGGATCTGCACTCCATCGCTACTGGCCAGAGCATGCAGCAGTGCTGTCTTCCCTGGGGGGGGAGAGAGGATGAGGTCAGGGTGCCCAGAGATGGGAAGCAGGATTCCCAGGGCTGAGGGAAGAGCTTCTGGCTTTTCATCCACACAAAAATAGGAACAAGAAGGCCAGCAAAGTCAGCACCTGTCTGCATTCACACACTCACTTCTTAAAGATGTCTTCTCAGGCAGCGTGGAGAGAATGGCCACACCTCTTCAGGGTGCTGGACTCGGGCAGGCTAGCGCCCTCCTCCGTGTGCCAGCTGTGGTTATGCCATCCTCTAGGGCCAGCCACCCACTAGGCACTTACCGTTCTTGTCAGCTGCATTAACATCTGCTCCAAGATCCAAGAGGCGCTGCAGACAGGGCAGGCGTTCGGGTTCCTCGCTGGCCAGATCTAAGGGGCTGCTCTCATGAATCTGGTGCCAAAGGGGATAGCAGCCATGTTGGTCTGAGGCCTGAAAGGCTGGTTCATAAATCTACCACACACATTCAAGCCAACTGCACCTGACTCTTACCCGGTCCCTCCGGTTGATGTCAGCCCCATGGCGCACCAGCAATTCCACCATGTCAGGCTGGTTTCTCAGGACAGCGATATGCAGGGCTGTATAATAGGTAACGGGGTCTGGAGGCAGAGAAGTAGAAGTCAGTCCATTCTCAAAGGCCTGGGACCAGCCTCAGCCTCTCCCCAGCACGGCCACCTCAAGCGTGCAGATGCTAGGCCTGCAGTCCTGGTGTGTTCTGATGGGCATGCAACCTCTCCGTGTTGGCCCCATCTCCTGTCTGTTTCCTCTCAGGGCCATTCCCAGGGCCATGCAGAGTAGCTGCTGTGCTCAGGCCTGGCAGTGCAGCCAGACTCTCACATCACCCTGGAAGGCCTTGACCTTGCTAGGTAGCCAGGATCACTACAGATCCTACTGCCTCAGCCTTCTACCAGGGTTGGCTGTGGATGGGCTTTGGAACAGACCCCCATCCTCTGCTTGCAAGAGTCACAGGTGCCTGCAGCCTTTAGCATGTTTCTCAATGAAAGGCAGTAGGGCTTTGTGAGGGTCAGCAGGGCCCCCACCTGCTCGTAGGCAGTGCCACCTGTGTCCACCTCCTGGTGACAACCAGTGGTGGGACAGGAAGCTGGCCCTCCATCACCTCTGATGTTTAAGGAACCTACGAGCCCTACTGGCAAAGGAAGTCCTTCTATGTTTTGCTTTTATTGGTTAATGAATAAAGCTGTTTAGGCCAATGGCTTAGCAAAATAGGGCAAGGTGGGAGTTCCTAGCAGATAGAGGAGGAGAGCATAGTGGAGTGAGCGAGAAGCCATGGTGCTGCTAGGTGGAACCCTGCCGGTAGGCCACAAACCTCATGATAATTAAATAATAGAATGGGTTAATTTAAGATATAAGAGCTAGCTAGCAATATACTTAAGCGACTGGCCAAGCAGTGATTTAAATAATATAGTTTCTGTGTGACTATTTCTAGTCAGGGCAGTTAGGAAACAACTAGTGGCCCCTGCCAACAATTGGCACCAATGTGGTCAACTAAATCCACTTAAAAACCAGAGAGGTTGAAAAGAATTCTACACACACACACACACACACACACACACACCACAAAGTTTAATGCAGCTGCTTCTTGTTTGCTGGCAGAAAGCAGAGACGTGGCTCCTTTAAGAGGTTTCCTGACTCAGCTTTAGTGGCAAAAACTGCACAGCTTCTTTAAAAATCGGCTTCCTGGTTCTCCAGCAGGAAGTCTGGCTCTTTCAGGAGGCTGAGCACTTGAATGGGGTTTGTGAGCAGTGTGTTACAAACTGCTTAATGGCGCAACAAAGACCTGCTGCATACCTGGAACTGGGGGTGTGTATGGCTTGCAGAAGTGGTGAACAGACCTCTGCCATGTTGGGCTGAGCAGAGCCAAAGCAGCCTTAGTCCTAGCCAAGCCACTCAGCATTTTAAGAAGTGCTCCTGGTTAGAAAATTATTACAGATATGCAATAAAGACAGATTCAGATAAAAAAGACCTCTAAATGGGTCTCAGTGTTGGATAAATGTACGTAGGCTTGAGAGATGAGAAAGAATGGACAGTTATGAAAGGAATAAATGGTTATAAAAAATAAAGTCTTTAAAAAGACAGAGTACAGACAGTCATAGATTAAAGAAAAAATAAGCTACAGAAAGATGGAATATACAGAGTCTGGATTATGTGTATTATTGTTTTCTTTGAATTTTTTGACTGAATGAGCTAAGTACAGAGAGACATTTCATTGTAAGTGCTGCTAAGCTAAACCAACATAAAGGTATTTTGACTTCAAAATTTGGGTCTAAGGATTTGTTGCTTTGGAAAAGGGGTTCTTTTGTTTCTACAGACGATGAGAACCTGTGAATTCCTTCTAGACTAATGTGGTTTGATGGACCAAGCCCCCCCACCCCCGAAAGGTCACTGTGAACACACCCCCCAAAATTACTCTGCCCAACAAAAAGCAGGAAGCAGTTTGGGCAGAGCTACACCAAATTCCCAAATATTGTTTATAAATGCTTGTTTACATTTAGAGGGGGAGATGCTATAGAGATTTGCATTGGTATAGACCTTGGTTTACTGATACAAATTTAAGATCAATTTTGTTATATATATATTTCTGCTCTTGAATAAGGTATTGTGTTTGTACAGCTCATTTAAAAATGTAATGAATAAGAAATACAGTTAATAGATACTCATCTATAATAGTCAAGCTTGTATCATGTTATTTTTCAAATCTTTCAAAGACTACAGAATATGGTATTTAAAATGTTTTAAGAACTTATCACTTTCATGACAGTGATACACATCTGCTCCTGGCAGTACCAATCTACTTCAAGAGGATGATGGGCATTGAAGAGGCTCCTCGTGGAGTTTGCCAGCCATTTGGGCAAGAAACTGCTCTTGCCTGGACTGCTTGATTGGACTTGCAGGACCCACAGCAAAATGACTGCTGAAGCTGCCTGAAGAAGGTAAGACAGCCCTTTAGGGAGCCTGCTTCATAAAAGAGTCTGCCAGACATTCTGCAGGACACAGAAGAAAGTGACTGATAAACTGCCAATATAGGTGGCACTCTTTGAAATTTCCTGCTTCATGGAAAAGTCTCCTAGATGCCATGGGCCTGTAGACTGAAGATGGATATCCCAACATTACAGAAGAACTTTGGGTGACTGTCCAAGCAGCGAGATGTCTCTGTCAATTCTAGAGTTTTAGAAGTTGCTTACAATGCACTTCCTGTTTACTTAGGTAATATTATATCCTGGAGTCTTTGATGGAGTTGAAGCATAGATATAGCTTTCCTTAGTTATGATAAAAGATAAAGTAGATATAAATACTGTAACTGTAATTCCTGCTTGATACC